CGCATGAGGTGGGGATCCTGCCTGGCCTCCAGGGGAATGAGGTCAGTGATACCCCCGTTTCCTCCTGAAGTCCATATTGTTGCGGATGGTTCCGAGTTCTGGCCGCGATTCCGACGGCTCGACTCCAGACGCTCGGAGAGATCACGCTGGTTGTTGCTTCCTGACATCGTGTTTGCTGTGGGTAGACTTAGTAGCTGTTTGGGAGAGTTTCTGGAAACTTTTTGCTCAGTTTCCCACAGACGGCGCCAGTGTTGAGGTTTATTCCTTCAACCCTTGGACCCAACACGTAAGCCCAAAGGTTTCGAGTGGAGTGAGTGTATGAATGTCTAGCCCAACAACTATCAGATGGATCCGGAAACAAGAGTAATAGCAGGCAATGTAAATAGGTATTATTAACTCCGTAATAACTCCCCTAAGTACAATCTACTTGCTAAAAAGGCACGTCGGCCGTTCGTCTTACAAGGCAGTCAAAAATGCTGCGAGTAAGAATGCTGAAGCTAGTATGCTAAGAATAGAAAACTGCCAACCCTTTACAATGAAATAAATGCTTCTATTTATACCCGCCAATGGGCAGGTGGCTGTAGTGACGTGGCAGCCTGTGGACCGCTGGTGTCCCAACTACCCAATCTTTAGCATTAAATGCACTTCCCGCCAGAATCTAGGTTTCCCGCCGGATCAGTGGGGACGTTCGTCCACCCAGGAAGTGAGTTGGATTGCTCCAAGTGACCCTCAGGTGATACCGGCTGTTCGTCTCCTGGCCTTGATAGATACTCACCATGTGGACTGGGTTTCCTCCGATGACTACAGGCTTGCTCTGGGGACGTTCGTCGCCATCCCTGGTGGCCCGTGGTTCTGCTCCTTGTCCCTGCATAGACGTTCGTCGGGATGAGCTGCTGGGCCTGAGCCCCCCAACACCAGACGTTCGTCCATCCTCAAGGAATATGGGCCTGTGGGCTGGCCTAGTGTTCTAACTGGACGTTCGTCTGGCAAAATGGGTTAGTGGGCCGGGCCTCGGCTTGGGCCCTTAACCCAACAAAACTTATGATCATAATTGAAAGTCTAAAAATCAGCATAGAATTCACATACTAGGAAATATATTTCATAAGATTATTTCATTAATTTCATAAATAATTTGTCAGATATAATTTATTAGGAGCTTTTTTCAAACCATATAAAAATTTAATCAACATACACAATTCTGTATTTCTGTGTTCTTGACAAGTAATTACATGACCTTCCAATTGCACCATATAAATTTATTCTAATTCATCTTTGAAAGATGTAGTTTTAACATTCACTTCATGAATATAAAGTTTGTGAATATAAGTCAAGACAATTAAAGTGCTAAAGAAAGAAATACATGTTACCAATACGAAAAATAATCAAAATTCATTTTTGAGAAAAAACCTTTCACAAGCAGGGGCGGAGCCAGGACACTGGGCCGGACTGGGCCGATACAAAGAATATTTTTGGAAAAAAATTTACACTGAATTTTTTACCTTAAAAATTTAGACATTTTTAAAATTTGGGCTGGGCCATGGCCAGGGATGGCCACCCCCTGTCTACGTCCATGTTCACAAGAAACCTCACTTTATATTTGTCAATAAATTTAATTTCTTTTTAAAAATTCATTTGTTCCCAATTAACTTACAATTTTTTGATAAATCGGTAAAAAAAAATTATTTTGTTTGATGGAATCTAATTCATTTTATATTGCCTCAAGTAAAAAAGAAGCTTCTTTTGACGAAATAGCTTGTAAATAAGTTAAAGGTTCATCATTATGTATAAAAATCATTTCCAACATATTTTTCTATCCTTGGCGTCTTACTTCTTAAAATAGAAGGTTCATCATTACAAGTTTCATTTTCTTTTAATGGATCATAATAACTAAAAGATTCATCACTGAAAGTTTCATTTTATTTTAATAGATGAGTGTCATCAATACTTCACGAAGTAGGTAGAGACTGAATCACTGGCTAGTATTACTGAGGTACAGTGTAAGAAATTCACCAACAAGAATACATTTTCGCCCGCTTCAAGGTACCACAACAGGTCATCACCGACAAATGACACTCAATATGAGGCCAGCTGGGGAATCAAGCACAACACAGCCTCTGTTGCATATACTATATGCAACAGAGAAGTGGAAAATGCAAACTGCACCATCCTCGAAGGCCTGAAGAATAAATTCACCGATGAAGGCGGGGGATGGGTCGAAGAGCTCCACAACATATTGTGGGCCTACAGAACAACACCTCGTCGAGCAAAAGGTGAAACACCATTTTCACTCTGTTATGGCTTTGAAGCCAAAGCTCCCACCGAGGTCACACTGCCAACTCAATGGGACAAAAGTTCACTTTTCTCCTTTACTTGAAAAGTGCATTTTTTTCATCTACCTTCTTTAAGAGCTAGTTTTGATCCACTTCAAACTTCAAGGTCCAAAACTCCAACTCCAAAGGTCAACACTACGGTCAAAGCTTCCAAGAGTTAACCTTCAGATTTAAAAAACAAAAAACAAAAAAAAAATCTCAAGGTTAAGACTGTTTTTTCTCAAGGACTAAGCTACACTTCAAAGTCCAGGAATTTGCAGAAACTTCAATCAACCTCACGTTTACGGTCAACGTTCAACAATCAACAATGGATGACTCCTCTAGCTCATCATCATTTTATAAGAACAAATGCGTTAAAGTTTCTGATGAGTCTGAGGTAAGCAAATCTGACAGTCAACAAATCATTAAGGAATTGGAAGAGAGATTGGCAAACAATCACAGAGTTTTACTGAAGAATCTTTATAAGAATGTTGTAACAACTGAGAAGTTGAACCAATCAGAAGAAAAGGTCAAGAAGTTAACCTTAGAAAAGGAAAAGTTAGAAGTAAATGTTTGTGACTTAACTAAAAAATTGAAAGCTTCTGAACTTGGACGCAACCAAACAAAAGGCAATTATGAACTTATTCAAACTCAACGATGTAAATTATATTCTAAGATTAAAGAGTTAGATGACTTACTTGCTAAGAGAGGTCAAACGGATCAAACCATTTTCTTAAACCAGCCTAAAGACACCACTTTCTACAATCCCAAAGAAGACTTAGGGTAACCAAAACCCATGCAACTTGAAGAAAGTCAATTGTCGTCAACTGTATGACATTGGATATATGGCCTGAGCTTGGGTTTGACGAAACTTGTGTCCTTCAGGGAGCGTCAGAAACTGATGCCGAAGAAAATGAAAAGAGAGAGAATAATCCTAAGGCTGAGATCTCGTTTGACTACACTAAACTGAATGCTAATTATAAGACTAGGGAAATTCCTTTGTCTAGTGACTATGTATCACTTTTTCCTCCAGCAAGTGAGTCAGAGTCTGTGTCTGCAGGGGAAGAAAAATCCGTTCCTGAAACATCCGAAACTGACAATGTTTACATTCCAAAGATCATCCGTAAAATTGCGGACTTGCACAAATCTTTGGAAACTGGATGAGAGTTTTTCAAAACATAAAACACAACTTTTAAATGAGATTTCTCTTCTCAAAATTACCTCAAGAACAGACACAACATCTACCTTATCTCCTATTTCAAAGAGTGTTTTAAAAGAAATTTCAAGTTCAAGCTCTCAAACGTTTAGCTCTGCCACACACCATTCTTCTCAGTTTTCTTCTAATGGCTCTGGATCGTTTTCTCATTCTAGTGTTGAGGTTAGAAAGCCTGAGAAACTTAAGCAAAAAGCTAAGGCTTTCAAACCTCATTGTGATGTGAATAATGGCAAATCAAAACAGAAAAGATTTGAAGCTTCAACCTATACTATTCGTGATGGTGTTTGCCTGACTTATCCCCTTAAGGTTTATTCAGCCAAACACCTGAAACGGTTATCAAGTGAGAAAATCTTTACTTCTCGAAAATCTGTTCCATCATTCACCAGCGCTGAAAATTCCCGCACACCAGCACTAACTCAAAAATGGGTTCCTAAATCAGAGTCTCAGTCATGTAGCTCTCCCAAAGATTCAAAAGAGACTGGTTTACGAACTAAAATAAAACAAAAATAAAAAAAAAATGTTTTGTGATAAAAGGTATGGACCCACCCTGAAATGGGTATCAAAGGTTTCTTAACCTTTTGCAGGTTCGTCATGTGTGGTAACTGATCCGATTACTCCCCACGTACACATGATGGGTATGAAGACGAGCCGTGAGCAATCAATTGGTGAACATTATGAAGGGGAGTATTAGCGTCTATAGTACCCCAATGAGCTGAAAGTCACCAAATGCACACACCTCAGAACCAACACACGCCAAGAACCAAGAATAAACAACACGTGTTTATTCTAAGGGGGGGGTGTTTCTTGTTCACTCCTCCTGGTGCCAAACAACGAAGAAAGCACATTCCAAGGGGGGGGTTTCTACTTTACTCTCCGGGTAACAAACAACACAACTTGCAACTTTTGAGGAGGAGAAAAGAAAGGCATCCTACTGAGTGCTCCAGTTGAGAGGGAGCATAGAGAGGAAAGAAAGAAAGAAAGAAAGGAAGGAAGGAAGGAAGGAAGGAAGGAAGGAAGGAAGGAAGGAAGGAAGGAAGGGAAGGAAGGAAGGAAAGAAAGGAAGAAAGAAAGAAAGAAAGAAAGAAAGAAAGAAAGAAAGAAAGAAAGAAAGAAAGAAAGAAAGAAAGAAAGAAAGAAAGAAAGAAAGAAAGAAAGAAAGAAAGAAAGAAAGAAAGAAAGAAAGAAAGAAAGAAAGAAAGAAAGAAAGAAAGAAAGAAAGAAAGAAAGAAAGAAAGAAAGAAAGAAAGAAAGAAAGAAAGAAAGAAAGAAAGAAAGAAAGAAAGAAAGAAAGAAAGAAAGAAAGAAAGAAAAAAAGAAAGAGAAATGAGAGGTCACGTCTTCGCCATCCCAATCTACGCTCTCTTCAGACAGGCCCCGAGAGGCCAAGACCCGACACATACCTACCTACACGGCTACACACACGGAATCAGGAGAAACAAAGATAGCTTTCTCCCATGGATTCAGATCTCAGGAAGCTTTTTATTGGCGGGATATCTTGGGAAACCAATGAAGATAAGCTTAAGGATTACTTTCAGAGATATGGTCAGGTGGTTCAGGTTGTGGTTATGAGAGACAAGGTTTCTGGGAAGCCTAGAGGTTTTGGATTTGTTGATTTCGCAGATCCCAATGTTCTTGACACAGTCCTTCAGGATAAGCATACTATCGATGGCCGTACTGTAGAGGCAAAAAGGGCCTTGCCAAGAGAGGAGCAACATATGTCAAAACCCGGAAATGCCAACAACAATGGCGGTGGTTATGGAGGAGGTGGAAATAACCGGACCAAGAAAATATTTGTTGGGGGATTACCGCGTGCCCTGACTGAGGACGAGTTTCGCCGATACTTTGAGACTTATGGGAACGTGACTGACGTGGTGGTTATGTATGACCAGCAAACAACCTGACCTCACGGGTTCGGTTTCATCTCATTTGATTCTGAAGACGCAGTTGACCGTGTTTTACATAAGACCTTCTACGACTTAAGCGGTAAGCAAGTTGAAGTAAAGTGTGATTTTCCCAAGGGCATGGTGGTAATAAACCAGATTCCAACAGGTATATGTCCTCACAAAACATAGGAGTAGGAGTGGGAGGAGGAGGGGGTTATACTGCCTATGGTTCCTCAGGATTTGGTGCTGCTGGAGGTTATGGATTTCCTCCTAACAATGGAATCGGTTATGGCAGTGGTTATGAAAGTTTTGGTGCTCCCACCCCGGGTTATGGTGGCTACGTGAACCCAAATGCTCCAGGTAGTGGACCAAGAAGTTCATGGGGCTCTCAGGGTCCCACCGCATATGGAGGTATGGGTGGTTATGGAAGTGCACCTTGGGGTACTTCCAATGCCACTCCTGGTGGGGGTGGTGGGGGTGGAGCTCCAGGTCAATCTCCTGCAGGAGTGGCGGGTTATAGGAGTCAAGGGTATGGTTATGGGGGGTATGGAGGAAATGTTGGACGGGTTAGTGGTGGTCCGAGAACAACCTCACCAGCTGGTGGTGGTGCCGGGGAGATGCTAGGGGGTGGCAGGGGCTATGGCAGTGGTTATGGTGGAGGAGCATATGGTAATACTATTGGAAGTTATGGCTATGGAAATGCAGCAACCTATGGATCTAGCAACTATGGGTCAAATGGGACCCCCGGAGGCCGGGTAGGGTATGAAAGCAACTATGATGGGAGCAACTACAGTAGCATACCAGGTCGGCAATCTCAACAGTAGTCAGTGGTTGAATGTATGATCAGTTGGGCTTCTTGAGTCTATGCTTGGTCCAACACTAGTGAGTGTTTTCTCACTAAGTTTTTTTCCATTGCCATTACATTGTTCTTTTTATGAGTAGCTTTTATATTTGTCATATGTTTGTAGTGTCTATTTTACTAGACAAAGCTGTTTGCATGGATTTTGACTGTGCTTCTAGATATATGATTGTACTTTTATGTTGAAAAAAAAAAGAGATAGGTCACAATGGCTTAGTAAACCCAACTAAGCCTACCCAAGGGACAAAGCCGCGAGTAAGTGAGTGAACACTATGAGGGTGAGGAAGAAGAAGGCTCATGTGAGCAAGAGAAAAATAATCAATAACAAGTATGTTACCTTAAATGCGCTTTCAATTGAGAAAATTACTCCCAGTCACTCAATTACTTTGGACAATCCCCATAGATTCAGGACTGAATTTATTCAGATCCCGGGTAGAAGTAACTGCATCTTGTCCAAACGGCGCATGCATAACAATACCCTAGACCACTCACTTGTCTCCTAATAGACATGTGTTAATCATATTTCACGGGGAACCTCATCTCTCATCACTGTCTCCTTCTAAGGAGAGTGATACTGACTACAGTGGCCCTCAGCCCCATGCCATTGAACTTTGATTGATCACGTCATGTCTAGTTATCTCACTCCGAGATGTTTTGAATTTTCTAGGACACGGACACACTTTTAGAGTCGGTTGCATGTCTAAGTGACTTGCGAGAACTTCCATAGGGCTCATTTACTATAGATGTTTCATTTACTTTTTAAACGATTCATCGGATTGTCATGAGGGGGGTCCACATGTTGTTTACTATCAACAAATCATTCTCGGTCTACACTCTGACATCATAAAAAATTCCAAGTCAGCTTCACATCAAATGGTCAGCTACACTCACGAATCAACCATCATTTTCCGTTGTGCCATCAACAAGTTCTACTCAAAAGCATTTACTTCAAATAGTCGAAAAGACTACACTTTGGAGGAGACAAAGGTCAGATACTCAGGTACTGAAGATGAATCCCGTGCATGCTTGGAAATCATCAGAACATTCATTCTAGAGGCGCCATAGGACATCATTCATGCTGATAGAGAGCAAATTCTGAAAGGCAAGAATTACATGAAAGATCTTGAAGGTCCCTCGACTCCCCGGCATCAAAGAACAAATTGCCAATAAGACATCAAATGGGAGATAGCACGGATAGGGGTGGGAAAAAATACCGAAATTTCGGTATACCGGACTTACCATATCGAAAAATACCGAATTTACCGAAATATTTGGTATACCGACACTTTTGGTACGGTATGATACCGTACCGAATTACTTCGGTATGGTATCGGTATCTATTTTGGAAATAAGCGGTATACCGGTATACCGTCATACCGTAATTCCAAACCAATAATTTCCTTAAAACTATAAAAATAACTAGAAACACAACACTAATTCAAGGATAAATGACTTTATATCCATGTTTCTTGAAATATTTGTACTTTTTGTTGGTGATCGGTGTTATTTTAATTATATTTATGATGTTTAAATTATTTTAGCAAAATGTGTTGGTGTCTTCATATATTGTGTGTTGAAATATATATACATATTTAGAATATTTTTTGTTCAAAGTTGAATAGAACACAAATAGGTTATCTCATTGGTATTTTATAATTAATTTCATTAATGATTTTAGCATATCACTGTTAACACTGATTTTCTTTATTTCATTTGACATATAATAATTTGTTATATTAAATCATGATAATTTACCGATACCGTACCTCACCGTCCCGAAATTTTGGTATACCGAAACAAGGTCCGAGCTGCTCTGGAATGGAACGTTGGCAACCACCAATTCAAGGAGTAGTAAAAATTCATACGAATGCAGCAACTCAATCAACTGGCTTTCAAAGAGGTATAGGCCTGGTAGCTCGCGATGATAAGGAGCTGTTTCTAGCTGGCAAACGCAAGAGATTAGTGGGGACTTTTTCAGCCAGCATCACAGAAGCTTTGGCAATCAGAGAAGCTCTTCTTTGGGCTAGAGAGATTGGCTGAGAAAATGTTACTACCTCCGTCCCATTTTATGTGTCTTAGAATGTTTTTACTTGGACTGTAATTTGCTGGTCTGGTCTGGTCTGGTCTGGTCTGAACTGGTCTGGTCTGGTAAGGTCTGGTTTCTTTGTATTTTTATAACTATCCAAGTCTGGTCTGGTCTGGTCTGGGACAAATTACAGTCCAAGTAAAAACATCCTTAGTTTGACTTGACACGATTATTAATGAAGTGGTTGAAAAAATAAAAGTTGTGATTGAGGTTTGAATATAATAAAGTGAAATGGTGTAGACCATATATTTTTTCAAGGAGACACTTATTTTGGGACAACCCAAAAAGGAAAGTAGGACAGGTAAAATGGGACGGAGGGAGTATAAGCGAATCTAATGCACAACTGGTGGTTCGTGGTCTTATAGCTCAGGATGGTTCAACATATAATGATATTCTTTACGATGATATTATAGTGATGGACCCGGGCCGGGTCGGGCCCGGGCCGGGCTAAGGCCCAGTCGGGCCTCGGGTCTGGTAAAGGTAGGCCCGGGACCGGCCCGGGGCAATGGCCGGTTCCGGTTCGGGCCGGGCCACCCGGCCGGGTCACGGGTCGGGCCACCCGCCGGGTCAGGCCACCTGCCGGGCCGGGACAGTTTTTTTTTTAAATTAATTATATAATATACAAATTCCTATTAAAAACAAAGTTCAAGTGCATTTATTTGAAATAAGAACTACATTTGAGAATTGAGAAAAAAATAACAATACGAAATACATTTTCTAATGAATATCAATTGAGATTTCCGCCACCGTTGGTTGTTGTTTTCCCTTTGTCACAGGACTTCATATGTTTTATTGGCATCCCGTATCCGTGTGAACGCCCCAAGCAACACTCTTTCTTGCACCACCTGCAAGTTGCCCACCACAGTCCGGTCTTCGGGTCCTTCCACTTGTCAAAATTGTTTTGCATAAGGGAAGATGTACTTTCCATATTTAAAATGGTATATGTATAAGTAGGATTGTAGGAATGTAGGATAATAAGAGAAGATGAAGATGGAGAAGAGTTGGAGAAGAATTGGAGAAGAGGTGTAGAAAAATGTTAGAAAATAGATGTATTTATAGATGTTTTTGAACCCCACTCCCCACACCACCACCCCCGGGACCCCCCTGCCCCCCACCCATAGCCCCAACAGCTATATAGCCGTTTGGGAGGTTTGATTTTAAAAAAAAAAGTTATACATATTGTAAAATAAATTAATTAATTTAATGAATTAAGTAAAACTAAAACTATTTGTACTTAGAAAAGTGGTTTGATTTATAATTTACAAATGTTACAAAATAGGTGTATAAGTATTTAAACAAATTACATATTGTAAATGTATTTTTAATTTAAAAACCGGCTTTATATTTTAGAAAAATAATTTTAAGTCGTTAGTTTGTAACGAATTAATTAATTTGAGAAGTGCTACATATGAAAAAGTGAACGCATATTTATTTGAAATATGAAGTACAAGTTTACAAATTAATTTGAAGTACAACTACAAATTTACAATTTTGAAATATGAAGTACAAATATAAATAAATTTGACAAGTGCTACAAAATACATTTTATAATAAATTCTAAAATACTAATCAATCGGAATCTCCGGCATAGGTAGAGCCACCATCGGTTGTTGAGTCATCCATAAAATCTTGGGAGGGGGTGATGCTCATTTCTTGAGTTCTACGTGCGGCCTTCAACCAATCGTGGTAGCATATAAGCGTCTCAAGAGACTCCGCGCTCAATCTCGATCTAGATGACGTTAGGACGTTGCCGGCCGAACTAAATTCTTGTTCCACAGCAACTGTTGAAATCGGCATTGATAGTACTTGCTTAGCCATCCGTGCTAAAATCGGGAACGTTCTTTCTTTTGACTTCCACCAGTCTAGAACGTCAAAGTCATCATTTTCTTCAAAATCAACTTCATATGTTAAATACAAAGTAATCTCATTCAATGCACTTTGTTCAGTGACGTGAGTTGTTTTTGTTTTTTTCATAAGATTGTCAAATGCAGATTTAAAAATCGATTTTCCTTTAGATGAAGATGTTCATGACGGGGGAGCGTTGCTATATTGTGCACGAAACTCATTAAATAAGGCATAAAATAAAGTACTAACCTCGTTGTATTCTGTTTTCGGATCTATGGGGTTATCGTCATACATTGGAAATTCACCAAAAAACGCAAGATAATAGAAGTTGAAACAATCTTCCAAATTAGCAAGTCTATAACGAGGATCGAGAATAAATGCAATACCGTAAATATGGGGAATATGCGCATAATATTTTAAAAACTTTTCCTTCATAATCACAAAAATAATGAACGAAAACGGCATTCTCAAATTCTTTAAAAGCACCGGCGAGATTAACAGCTTCACGAATAAATTGGTTTGCGATAGGTTTATAAACATGACTAAAAGTTTCAGTAGCATTAAAAAAAATATCAAAACATTACAATTTTTTTCGCAAGTGTCGATCTCAGCCGCGTTTATAATATAGTTATCATGTTCTTTTAAAAAAGCAGGAAAATGTTCTTTATATCTAAGAACAACTTTAAGTAATTTATAAGTACCATTCCAACGAATACTCAAATCTTTAGGAAAAGCAACATATCTTACACCTCTTTCAGTCAAATAAGTTTGTCATTTTAATCTAAGTTGACCATTACCCCAAATACGTCTAATCCCCATGGAATCTCCTAACGCTTTTAAACCCTCTTGCACACATAAATTTATAACATGGCATGCACACCGTTGATGCAAAAATCTACCCATCAAAGTATTGGCACCACACAACTCACGCAATCTAGGTATAGCAGCAGTATTATTAGTAGCATTATCGAAACCAATAGCAAACACCTTATCAATCAAAATATACTCAATTAAAATATGCTCAATCAAAATATAAATATGTTCAGCGGTGTGACGATCATTAAATTCACGAAAAGCAAGAACACGTTTATGCATATTCCAATCCTCATCAATATAATGTGCAGTCAGACCCAAATAATATAAATGATGAAAATCATCCTCCCATATGTCAGAACAAATAGTAACACGCCCATCAAAGTTTGCAAAAAAAATTTGTAACCTTGCCTTTTCCGCATTATAAAGCCTTATTATTTCTTTCTTAACAGTTTTGCGACTATAATTTCTAAAATGAGGATTTAAACTACCTTGTGCATAATCTCTTAAAGCAAGACTTTCAGAAAATAAATAAGGCAAATTTTCTTCACAAATTAAGTTAGCCATACCAGTCAAATTTTGTGCATCATTGTAGGAGAAATTACCAAAAGGTTGAGAATTCGCAAACCTCGATATTTGACTTTGGTTCCCCGTTCCGCCGCCTAATTTTGCATACTCCACGGGGTGCTTTGCCTTAAGATGCCTTGCGGCGGATCCGTATCCGCCGGAAGTTCCCAAACTATAATTGTTGTTGCACCACTTGCAAGTTGCGTGCCAATAGCCGGTTTGTGGGTCCTTCCATTTATCAAAATTATTTTTCATTAGTTCAGACTTACTTTTTTTATTACCGGTGGCGGTTTGGGATGAGGCAGGCTCGTCGGCGTCGTGGCTGCCGGCACCCCCCTCCTCGGCCGTCTCTGGTTCCAATTCCTCCGCATCTTCATCCTCAAGCTCCTCTTCGTCAATGGTCGTCGGCATTTGTTGTTGTTGTAGAAAGCGATTATTATGTCGGGCCAATTCTTGTTGGAGTTGTTCTTCGAACATCGCATCTCCATCTCGCCTTTGGTAACCCGTTTCAAAATCATCTCGACTTTGAGATGAAGAACCGGCAAGTTCTTTACCTTTGCGGGATTTCTTCCTCCCAATCTCGTTCCTTCGATTGCGTTGGAGGTTACCCAAATCAACCGAATATCTACCACCTTCCATCTAAAAAATGTAACAAATATTAATTGACAACAAATATAATAATGGATACAAAACTAATGCAACTAATTAAAACTATTTTAATTAATACTTCAAACTAATTTAGTGCAAAGTAGAATTAATGTGTGACTTTAAAATTAAAATTATAGCAACTTTTGAAGTACTTTAATTTAGTAAAAACTACTTAAATAAAATGTTAAGTACTTTAATTAAATGATTGAACTACTATTTCTTCCTACAAATATAAATTGAAAATAAGAAAATGTGACTTTAACTATAATGACAATTAACTAGTTTATTGAAGTAGAGTTGTTTTAACAATTAATGAGAATACTAATGAAGTAAATAACTAGTATAATGAAAAATGTAACAACAATGCTAATTAACTAATTAACTAGTATAATGACAAATGTAACAAGAATGCTAATAAACTAATTAACTAGTATAATGAAAAATGTAACAATAATGGTAATGAACTAATTAACTAGTATAATGAAAAATGTAACAAGAATGCTAATTAACTAATTAACTAGTATAATACTACTTATAGTAAGTAATATATAATATAATGTTTATAGTATATAATATATAAGTATACTACTATAAGATGAGTAATACACTTATATTTTATACTTTAATATATAAAGTATATATTTAGTAGATGTAGAATGTATGTATTAAGTGGATATAATAATTGTATAAGAATTAAATATTAGAGTATAATGGAGAATTGGAGATTGGAAAATAAGAAAATAAGTATATATAAAATATAAGTAGAGAAGTAGATATTATTATGTATTAAGTATATAGTAATAGTTTATAAAGTATATTTAATACTTTATTATATAAAGTATATATTAAGTAGATGTAGTATGTATGTATGTATGTATTAAGAGATATAAGTAGAGATTAAGTAGATAAGAAATATAAGTAATATAGTATATGTATTTATAAGTAGATAATTAATATGTAAGTAGATATAATAATTGTATAAGTATTAAATAGTAAAATAAAATATAAAGGAGAATAAGAGAATTTGAGAAGATGAATATGGAGAATTGGAGATGAGTAGAGAGTAGGATTTAGGTAGAGTTGGAGAAGAGGTGTGAAAAAATGTTTAAAATTAGGAATATTTATAGGTTTTTTTTAACCCCCAACCCCCCCACAATTAATGAGAATACTAATGAAGTAAATAACTAGTATAATGAAAAATGTAACAACAATGCTAATTAACTAATTAACTAGTTAATATGAAGTACAAGTTTACAATCGGTTGCTCCGGCATAGGTAGAGCCACCCCCAAAGGCCCCGGACCCCCCCCCCCCCCCGGTAGAGCCAAAAAGGTTTTTTTAAATTAAAAGAATTTTTTTAAAAAAAAAATAGGACCGTTAGGCCCGGGCCACCAAAACCAACACCCGAGCCCAAACCCGCCACCCCCCACCGGTTCGGTGCCCGAACCGGACCCGGACCCGAGAACCGGGCCGGTTCCAGGTCCGTACACTAACAGGCCGGTCCCGGGCCGGGCGGCCCGAACCGGGTCCACCACTATATTAGACATATGATGACGCATTTCGTCACTTTAGATGTCCAGTTTGTTCGACGATCATCGAATGGGGTTGCATATGTGTTAACTAAGCAAGCCCTTTCTAGTCTGATTGTAGTTGGCAATCTACGCCTCCGGCTAGTATTGTCCATCTCCTAAACAGTGATTATACTTAATAAATTTATGTGTTTGGTTTTCAAAAAATAAAAAAAATAAACACTTCATGGAGAAAAGGCTCACAAGATTTCATCAAAAAATGCATCCTGAAAGTACGTCAACTGAAAGAGTCCAAATTGTAACTTTTAGGTCTACCTTTGATTATTTTCTATATTGTCCATAGATAACAATAACAGATGGTGATGAAAGAAGATAAAAGACCAGTTCACGCTCCCCAACCAGTCAAGCCCGTGTTTTTGGAGTCTACATGCATACATTGTGGGGTATTTTGGACTATTGCAGGAAAATAGGACATGTGATTTTTTTCTTCTATTCTAATACAATTAGCTGGCAGTGGTTTGATTAAGAGATCTGTTAAGAACAGATAGCTGACCAGAGTCTCCATTCAAAAAGAAAACATCCAAGGGTACATATGCAGAAGCCGATGATGATTCTTCTGAAGATAAGCTAAAACAATATGCCGGTTGCAATACTTTGCTGCCCTTGAGTAGCGGAATGGTTTGAAGGCGAGGCCCAGTTCGCATCTGCCAAATCTGCAACAAAGCATATCTCTCTAATAAACAATTATGGTTCCATAAATTGCTTGGGCTCTAGGCAAAATCCATATGGTATTTGTTTTTCCGGGCTCGGTTAGGTTTAAGGCGGCCAGATATACAAACAAAATTAAAACCTAGTTTGATTTGGCTCAGTGTGAATCAGTTTCAGCGGTTAGATTGTTGTTGCGGATTTATTGGTTTAAAATGGTTCAGAAAAATTGAAAAAATAAACAAATTATGTTTGCCCATTCTGATTATAAACAGGTTATACAACCGAACCAACATGCACATCCCTAAAATTGTCTAGTGACTGGAGCAGTTTACCCTTAAGAACCTATTTTTAGAAGTTCAAAATATATCTTTTGAAGTAATACATGCATCAATGCATGTACTTTTACAATTATTAATTTTAAATTATTATGAACTTCTAAAATTAGTTTGAGATAACAAGACAAAGGGAGTAAATTGAAAAACATGTTATGTTTTTCTTGTGCTGAAACAAAATCATGCATGAACATGATAAGGAATTGATGAAAAATTACCTCTACTATCCCTTTGCGAGGTGCATGAATGGCAAGACATAAGCAATAGTCACTCTTTGTATATTCATGACGTGGAGACTTCAATGTGGAAGAATCTTTATTGAGAAGCATCTCCACGAATAAGCAGCTTGCATCACGATATCCCTAAAAGGAAGAAAAGGTTCATCCATAACCGTCACAAACACAGTATTTTTGGGAAGAAAATGATGAAAGGAAATCAGAAGTAAAGTGCGGAGAGAAATACGCTTTACCTTGTTCGGGACGAAGGGAAAGTAGGGAAGCAAACAGCCCCCCCCCCCCCCCCCCCCCTCTAGATTAATTCATCCTAAAACTTACATTTTTATCCTACTTTCAAGTTTTCAAATTTAGTTTGGGCTGTTAGGAAGGTCAAAATGTCAAATGACGCCTTTTATAACTATATGTTTATCCAAAACCAATAATTCTAAAATGATAAATAAATATCTTTCCTTTCATTTCTTATTTTACCTCCACCCAAACACAAGTAGTGATGGTAAGAAAGAAGAATAAAATGGTGTCCCTGACTCCCTTCTAAATTGTTGTTTCCTACTCCTATAGAAAAATTCCAAAAAGACCCCAAGTAATTCAAAACCACATAGTGCCAATGGATACCCAACCTTCCACAATCTGACTACAACAAGTGCCTGAGTGTCCAAAAGCATGATACGGCCGAGGGAATCAGTTATTGCAGCCAAAGTTCGATTTGGTGATAATGTGAGCTTTTCACCTTTTCTTGGCTGATCTTTCAAGCAAGTCAGAGGAGAAGCTGTCATACACAAGTTATATTTTTGCAAGATGAATACAGAAGATTCAGTGATAGCCACAAACGCATTACAAATAGGTTTATTATTTTTAATCAATACTAATGTAATAAGAAGTGGCCAATTAACATAACTATATGCACTAAAATGCTGAATTTTAAAAACGGGCAGCCAGTACACATTGATGTCCCCGCAAGACAAGGGTCCGGCAAAGAGTCCCGCCACAAAGGTGTATAGGGGGACAAGCCTTCCCTTGTCATTTTGACAAGAGACTGCTCCCAACACTTGAACCCGTGACCTTTTGGTCAAACCGCAACACCTTAACTCGTGATCTTTTTTTTTTTTTGTCCCGGAAGGTAAATGCTGGGGACACTTACCAAATATATATTAATAAAATTGAATACAAATTGGAGAGACAAAAAGTTATTTGTAAAGATTAAAGCTAGGAAAAATAAGCTATAAGAAGATTAAGCTAAGGAAAGCAAGCTAAGCTAAAGATTAAGCTTTCAAGCGCGATTGTGCTCTAGTTTGTATGGAGGATGCCTGAATAGCATGTTCCTCAACACCTTAACTCGTGATCTTTTTGGTCACACTAAAATGCCTAACTTTAAGTTCCTCAAATTCAAAGAGATAAGATTAAGGCCTCGTTTGGTAACACTATTCTGTCCAGTATTCTCTTTAGAAAACAAAACAAACATGTTTGGAAGCAGCAGTTTCTGTTTCCAGTTTCTGAAAGCAGAGAACAAAATTTTGAAAGTTAATGCAAATAGGAATTTAATACTTTAATATTTTATTTTACTTTTTTCGAAAGCAAGTTGCAGACAGATTGTGGCAATAAACCATTATATATATTTTATATCAAAGTCAAAGATTTTCTATCAGATATAGAAAAAAGATCTGCCAAATTTTTGAAAACAAAAATAGAAGTAAATATAAACAGTTGTTATTAATAAATATAGGAGCAAAACACAAAACAAGAGACGGTACAAAATGAACACAAATTATATCTTAAACTAAGACGCACTGAAACTTCCCACGGTGCATGTTTACCTGTTTCGGAGGAACTTAAAAAAGTTCAAATTCTCATTTTGGGGCTGTTTCTGTTATTAAAAAAAAAGTGGGAAACCTATATCCCTTAATAATTAGGGCTTCAGAAACTTTGGGCCTCCATTTTTTCTTTAAGATGGGATTCCAAATGGAAAACAGTGTCTGATTTTAAACTTTTAAGTGCATGTTTTAGGTAATTTCGTTCTAGCAACATTGTAATATTTCATAGTGCAATGCATTGCACTAAAAAGTATTGCACTTTATGTTTAACTGTGAACTAATAAGTAATATGTTTATAAATTTGAACATGTATACTGTATTTATTACTCCCTCCGTCCCATTGGACTTTGACAACTTTCCTTTTTTACTTGTCCCAAAAAACTTTGTCACTTTCCTATTAAAGCAACTAATTTGTGGTTCTGCACATTTCTCTCTCCTCTGCACAAATTTCAACCACACAGTTTTTACTATTCTTATTTCTCACCTAACTTGCACTTGGCAAAGTCTATCGGGACGGAGGTAGTATTAGTTATTAAACAAAATTATATACATATAGAAAAACATTTTAATGAAATAATTGTGTGCATATATGAAAATATATATACATACATACCATTATATTTTTTAAAATTACACGTTCCCGTTTCATATCCTATATTTTTCAAAAAACTTGTTTCCCAAATTTCCTGGTGTTTACTGTTTCCCAATAAGCTTTTCCGTGCTACTTACATCTTAAATAACCTTCCACATAACATCATGCAAAAAACTTCAAACGACTGAGAGTGAGGAGATGAAGAAAACTAATTCTGCAAGGAAATAAAGAACCATATCACCTTGAGAAAAAGGTTGAGGTTTTGGTTCTGATTTTCTTGTGGATGCTTGCTCACTCCGCCAAAACATTTTCGAGAAAGATGATATTGTTGAAAATGTTGCTGGCACTACTTTGGACAGAATGGCCCCAACTATTGATCGACTTTTGTCCACTGAAAGTCTTGAATTTGAAGTAAAATTTATGCCAAACCATAGTAAAACCCACAACAACAAAATGTATATAATTATAAACACTAACCTATAAGCAGAAATCACAGCGTTGTCTCCCACAGTGATTGCACAATAATAATGCTGACTTGACTGTCCAACAATAAAAGCAGCTGGATTCAAATACCAGAATAAATTTAGAAATTTTCCATATCAACAAATAGGAAAGAGAAATATAGTTCAAAAATGTTGCAAATGGAAGTTTAGAGATTCCAGAACAATTCTGTATCTGTTCGGAAATCAGATTATAATAGTACACTGTACACTACAGAAAGACAAAAGGGAAAAAATGTGACAAAGGAGGACTTGGGAGAAAATAAAGGACAAACACACATTTTAGATATCTATTTGAACTCATTTTATATACTTCTATTGTATAAAAAGTAAATGATCTAAATACAATAAAAAAACTAATAATATTTCATACTACTTTGTATTTTCCAAAGTGAAAAAGTACAGAAGAAAAAAACTAACTTCATTATTTTCTCTTTCCCTTGCACTTTCCAATATCATAACATACCACGTTGGTATGACTCAAATTAGAAAAAAAAAAGTCGTATTTATGCTGTTAATAATAGGTATAAAGAGGGGGGAACATAATATTACCTGAAGTTCCATAAGAGGAGGGGGGATCACGCCTGTGATAGCAGCATCAAAACAAGATCCATACTTGTTAATATTCCATAACTGGTAAGGAAGCCTTGCAAAAGAATTCCCGGAATCTTCCACTTCTCTGCTATTGGGATCCCATGACTGAGAGTACCTTTCTCGAAACCATTTCTGAAGCATTCTCTGCATTCCATAATTTATGTGTGCTAAATGCAGGCATGAAACCCTTGAAACTAGATTTCAAACACTAATAAGGACGGGGACAGCAATGGAAATTTTGGGAGTTCACAGCAGTTTTAACCTGAATATCAGATCCCTCAAAGCGAGCAACCGTGCCTGGCATAACAACACATACTTCCTCTAAAGATGCATCATGCATCTGATTTTTTTTAGTTACGCGAACCCTCAACTTAAGGACTTTCCCCGTGTTTACTAGCTGTCAGTGGAAATATAATGTTAGCTCTACACTTTTTTTAGCTACGTACATAAAATACAAGGGTATTAAACCCCCGTTTGGCTGCAATGATGAATCTGCTGGTCTTTCTGAAATGAAGTGATCGGTAATATCAATTTGAGCCAAAAAAAAGTAAGACAATGGCAACTTATTCTGCCGATAATAAGAATAAGCTAACTTTTGCTACTTTTGGGGGCAACAACAAACAAGTCCCAACAATTCAAAGAGAAAAGTGGTAGGCATTCCGACTCAAATTTTATGAATTTTAACCGCATTTCCATTCACACAAATTTCAGCAACTTAAGATTGAACAAGCAGTGCAAAAAGATTTGGCTTTTGAGATATTGTTGTTGCTGTGAATGGCAGCATTTGCATTTCAGAAGACCCAAGGGTATACGGAATCGCAGTCTTTTTAAAATCAAAATATAAGGATTTTGACCGCATTCCCTTTGCATACACATAAGAGGTAAGTCGGTGAAAAAAGGAATAACCTGTTTGTGAATGAGATCTCCGCGGAGAGAGTAAATCAGCAAATACCCACAAGACGTGCCGACCGCGATTACTTTGATGTCATCAGATATTAACCACTCCAGAGCGGATATATACTCGGATTGGATCGGGGAGAGTTCGGGTGTGATCTTGGCATCCGGGGCGCCGCCGCCGCCCAGCCACTGGATGACGATGATAATTGAGCGGTCCGCGAGCGCAATAGAGTGGGTATCCAGAGCGGTGAGAAGATTAGGGTTCCCGACGAGCCAACCCTCCTTGCCGGCGCCGAGATCCGACAGATCACCGCAGGTGATGCAGCCTAGGTCCGTTGTGTGGGTAATCCGTCGGGCCATTAGAATTCACCTGTAACGCCCCATTCGCAAAAAAGGTTCTCCGACAGTCCTATTTGCTGCCAAAATATACAGCAAATATAAGCTGTTCTTAGCAGGGGTGACTCTACCAGGGGTGGTTAGGTATACCGAATATTTTCTCTCATACCTTTGTCGTACCAAAAGTTTCGGTATACAAAATTTATATACCGTTACCTTACCGAAGTTTCGGTATACTGCATTTCGGTATACCGAAGTTTCGGTACGGTAACGGTACGGTATCGGTAAATTACCATAGACTAATAAAATACACTAAATCGGTGTTACTAGCGACATATTTAATCCATTATTAAAATGTTTCAAAATACAATTAATAATAATCTATTGATGTCGTATTCAATATTGAACAATAATTATGTTTAGTGTATTTAAGTAGTTCAACATGCCACATATTAAAAAGTAATACATTCTCCTAAAATAACTTGAATAAATAGATATAATTAAATCAATAGTGATCTCCAACAAAAATAAATAATTTTTTTTTCGAACGATATGGATATAAATCATTTATTCCTAATATGATTGTGTATTTAGTCATTTTATAATTTAAAAGAAATATTTAAATAAGACTTTCGGACAAAGTTGTATGTTTTGACTCGCAGAATCCCTATGCAGATACACTCGTCACACTCGTCAGCGGCTCAACCATCACGACTTGCAAGCTCTTGGGACAAGATCGACTTGTTTCTAGACATTAATACAATACTCATTAGTCATTAGTGTAGTTTATTTGAATGTTACGTAATAGAAGCCTAGAAGGTTATAGTGGGTTTGGAAAATTGGTCCTTTGTTTTTGTATTTTGATATTTGTAACCAACCTAAGTATTAAGTTTAGGCTTCTAAATTGTAATGGACTTTTACAATATTGTAGAATTTAAAGTAATTTTTGGGTAGGAAGTCGGTACGGTATTATACCGGTATACCGCGGTATTTGAAAACATTTACCGTTACCGTACCGAAATAAATCGGTACGGTATGATACCGTACCGAAAATGACGGTATACCAATATTCCGGTATTTTCCGGTATTTTTCGATACGGTAAGTGCGGTATACCGATTTTTCGGTATTTTTGCCCAGCCCTAGACTCTACTAATTTGAAAAAATTATTTTTAAAATATATTTTATTAATATAATAAAAAAATTATATGTAAAAATAATTAAAATGGACATCTACACTAACTTCAATCAATACAGTCACGAAAGTAACTTCAACCTTACTTTTTCTACTTGTTACACAATTCAGCGCGCAAAAGCAAAAAAGTAACGTGTTTGGTGAAAAAGTTGGTGGATAAGCCCGATGAGTCAAAAAAACGGTATTGTCAAACGGCCTTTACATGTTATAATAATCATGACAACAAATACAGATATTATTTTAAAATTTAAATTGTACGCGTCATAGAACAACACATAGTAAAAATATACTCCGTATAAAATTTTGCATATATGCAAGTGACAAATCCAATTACTACATTAAAGAATAATTCATGATTGCATAAGTCAATGCCAAAAATGTGAATAGTAATTAAGTTTAAAACATAGTTCTATAAAACAATATCAAAAAATAATGCACAATAACAATAGAATTAGACCAAGTTAACATCATCTTCATCAAATAACAATCAAGTTAAACTCATCATTGTCATCATGATGATGTATGGTGTAAGATAGTACGAAAAAGTTGTGTGGTTGTTACATTTATTATTGTTTATGTGGAGAAGTTCATACTATAAAAGCATCATGTTTAGAAAATCTTAAATTGAGATGTTTGTTTGGAAATTTGCATGTATTTTTTTATCATAAATTTGCTAGTATTTTAAATATTTGACTTTTAAGATGATAATTTTAGCATTTAATAGTTGTATATTTTGTATTGTAATAATACAAAAACACGGGATCACAAGGAGGTTTTTCGTTTTAATATTTAAACTATTGTTCATCTCCTATGCATTCATCCAATTGATCAAACACAACTTTTGAGGCAAAAGCTTTTGGGGATTGCCTCATTTTATTTTCATATAGAGTATTAGAGTACATGTCACTTTGAATTTCTATTTTTAGGAATTGGATTTGTCCTCAAATTTTTGTTTAAGAGAATAATACATTGGCTAAATGGTTGCAATGGCTGAATAGACTGAAATTCTGAAGTAAAAGTGTTTAGTAGTATATTGACTTAATTGGCTAATTGAATGTGTAATAATTACTATAAAGGGTATTTTTTGTTGTACTAAAATACTGCAGATTACTAACACATATCAAATGCGTACATGAATTCATCAACACAGATGCAAGGAAGAGCGAGAATAAAAATCACAAACGCAAAATCACTCTCGTGTGGAATAAAGTAAAAAAAAAATCTTTTCATATCCAGAAAGCCATAACCAAAATTTTGTTCGTTACCAATTTTATGTTCAAAATCAAAGGTACAAACCAGTTCCTAATACAAGAAAGGTTTAGCCAATCAAATATATAACTTGAATATGATAAACGACGAAAACCCCCTCTTGGCGAAAGACATATGCTCTGCGAGCTTACCGAATTAGTTGCAGGATAGGGAGAAGAAATTGCAAAAATGAAGAATAGATGAAGAGAGCTTACCATCAAGATCGAATATGGAGCCGCGGAAGACATTTTGGATGCAGTAGATAAGGATAGAGCTAAGGATGGCAATGGGGGCGGGGGGGGCGTGGGGAACCGCCCCGTGGGGGGAGTTGAGGCGGGTGGTGGAGTGGGGTGGGTGGTGGGGTGGGGGAGATATTTTCTCCGCGCATAAATATGGGGCGAGTGATGGGTTATGCACCCCCCGCACCGTCCCCGCCCCGTCCCCCGTAATAATTAATAATAATAATCTCAATAATAATACTAATAATAATAGTAATACTAATACGAAGTAATTAAAATAGCATGGTGGCCCGGTGGGTTTAGTGGTTTCCTATCTAATGGATTGTGCCTAATGGGTCTATCTAATTCTTGTTTAATAACTAAGCTATTTTGTAAAATTGCTTATCAAAATCATAAAGTAAAATGTTTTTTTAGGGATAAAGTAAAATGAATTTGGGAAAGTTATAAAGTGATATTAGCTTAAACGCCCCAGGCACGGTGTGAAAGTTTGTTTCCTTTACTATTACAATGCATTAATTCTTTTCTTTTGAATGTCATCTTTATGATTGTAGTTAGGGCTCTTAAAATTTGGTGATTATATGTCGTCCTAGATGCCGTCAAATGACCATGATTGATTGAATGCAGGGTTTAAGAAAATATTATAAAGCTGATCAATGCTAATTTAGAGTTTGATAAAAAAGACTAAATTAGAACGCGTATAATGTGTTCTAGATTTGAAATGGGATGTAAGATTACATTGACACTTAAAAAGTAAAAGTTATTTTGGCTACTAGAAGTGTTGTTTAATTTTTGAAAAATTGTCAGAGTCTAAAATGATGTTAATTTTTGACGAGTACTTCCCCCGTTGGGTACCTGTGGGTCTAGCGGGTCTGGGCGGGCGATGGGGCGGGTCGAATAGTAGTGGGGGATGGGGCGGGGTGGGGGTGATTGTTTAGACACGGGGAGGGGGGTGGGGGAGTGAACCCCCGCCCCAACCCAGCCCCATTGCCATCCCTAGATAGAGCCGTCTCTTAACATTTAACAGTACAAAAAAAGGTGACAACTCGGGTACCTTTCTAAAATATGGGGTACCGTACCTATCATTCATTTGATTGGACCACATCACTTTATCATTTTTAATTTAGATTTAAATAATTCAACTGCTACATTCTCATTGGTCCATGTGGACAAAAGTATGATACCTTATGAGTACCATAAAATTTACCAAAAAAATCAGCTCAAAAAGTAACTCCCAAGCTACCTTTTTGGCTGATAATATAAATCAGTCAAAGCAGCCAAATGGAGTGGTGTTTGGCTATTTATACGAAATTTTAGCCTGATCAACCCATTTTTACTCTTCCAAACATCCTCATAATCATTCGTAGATTCCTATAGGTTATGTTTGGCACAACTAGTTGAAAAGATACTTTATAAACTTTTTAGTTATTGTTAGCTTTTAGTTACAAAAAAAAACTTAAAAGTAAAAGGTGATAGTTGTATGATAAAAAGATAATTGTTTGATTTTGTTCTGTTTGGTATACAAGCTGTTGGGACTACTTATTACTAAAAGCTACAGACTTTTCTCATATACTATTCACTGTGACGTCTCAAAAAAAATCTCTTATTTTTTAAGAAGTTCTTAAAAATTATTATGTTAAACATACAACTAGAAGTTTTTAGAGACTTTTTAAATAGTACAAAAGCTAGAAGGTACAGACTTGTGCCTACCAAACATGCACACAGACTTTTCTCATATGATATTCACTGTGGCATCTAAAAAAAGACCTTTATTTTTAAAGAAGCTCTTAAAAGTTGTCATGTTAAACATATGATGGATGGTCTACCCGGGGGGTATCTTATCCGAGGGGTTATTGCGGGAATAACTAGAGAGAAGTCAGAGCAAAATAGGAGGAGAGAGAGTCGATTTATTAAATGAACTCAGCGTGTGGAGTTGAGATGTAGATCATGTCCATTACAAGGAGAAATGGGCTGCTATTTATAGCAGCAATAAATGCGATGAGAGTACACGTGTCAGTAATCCAACGGCCTAAGGGTCACATCAGCCTGGTGGCACCGGCAGTGGTACGTTCACCGCATTGAATGCGGTTGGCGGATGTGACGTGGCATTAAATGCGGTGGTTGGCTGTCCCCAAAAGGAATCTTCGATGATTGAGCATGCTTGGCCGAAGGCTTCTTGTGTAGCCGAGGGATCCGTGTAACCAAGGACCCCTGTGTAGCCGAAGGCCCCGAGTGGCAGAGGGCTAAGTTCAGCCGAAGGCTCCCCTGATGCCGAGGGCTTGGTAATGCCGAAGGCTCATGTTTTTCGCCGTTTTCTCCCAGTGGCTTCGTATGTCAGAGAGGGCTACTTTGTGAGTTTCTGGAGCCTTCTGTCAAGGAGGCCTAAGGCACCCCAGTATGTAT